AGAAGAAGAAGAAGAAGAAGAAGAAGAAGAAGAAGAAGAAGAAGAAGAAGAAGAAGAAGAAGAAGAAGAAGAAGAAGAAGAAGAAGAAGAAGAAGGAGAAGAAGAAGAAGAGGAGGAAGAAGAAGGAGAAGAAGAAGGAGAAGAAGAAGAAGAGGAGGAAGAAGAAGGAGAAGAAGAAGAAGAAGAAGAAAGAAGAAGATAATCGTGAAAATTGGAGAGGGAGAATAGGAGAGAGAAACAATTCGTTCCTTTTATATTTTAGCAGTTTCTATTTTTCCTAATTGTAACTGATTTTGGAGTAGATATGGAATTGTGTATGTCTTGTAATTGTTCCGAAATATCTTTCTCAAACTGAGGCAGTTATAAAATTTTCCCGCCAAATAAACTAACAAAAATGTGGGCCAAAACTCCCAACAAAATGGGCCAGAAATAAGTTTGTTGAGCTGGACAAATAAATCACTTTGGGGCTGAATTTAATAGCTATAGCTCAAGGATCCGAAAAATGAAACCTTCAAGTTCCGGATATAAAGCACAAAAAAGGGTCGAAATGGATCGAAAGTAATTTCTATGCGATTAAACGAAGAATGTTCGAATGAAACTAAAAGGCAGTTAAAATTAATTCTAACAAATCCATACACATGAGATAATAATAAAATTAATCACATAATATTTACAAGTACAAGTCACTTAAAATAAACAAAGAAATCGCTTAAGGCGAATGAAATCACATAAGTACAACGAGCACATAAGAGTTAAATAAGTGCAAGAAATAATGAAATAACAACAAATAAGATGCAAGCAAGCAAAATATAATCATACGAGAATTCATATAAATCGAAAGGGCGCTACAGATAAAAAAATATAACTAATGACATAAGAATGAGATAGGCTACAGAGTAGTATGTTGAATATACTAAAAGAGGTTGAAACATGAAAGTACCTCATCCCTTTCAATACCAGATGCCAGTGGATTCATTTTCATCCTTATGAAAAGATATATGTATCCCAGCCAAACACAAGCTTCCTTAACATTTGTCACAGTCCCAAGTGCTACCTTAGCATTTTGATTATCTTTCAAAGAGTTTATAAACTCCAAATAACAGTAAACATGAATATGGAAAATGCCACTAACCATAACTAATAATTCATATCTCATGGTTCCAACAAAGTTCTAAGCCAGGAAACTTCTAATTTGGAGAGATATCAAAATTTCTAGGAATCTTTGGTTTATTCAAACACAAACAAAGTCCCTTTAGGAATGTAAGTGAATTCCAAAACTAGCTTAAAGTTCTTAATCCAACATATAAACTAAAAATCACAATTTTCAAGATAATAGGCAAGTAAGAATTTACCTGACTCTCAATGGAAAGTTGACTGGTTAGAAGACGCAAATAATATGCTAATTTGTCATGAGAGTTATTATGATGCATTCACCACTTTTATCGAACCGTGGTCTTCCAGCACGACCGAATATCTATAGACAATCTATTAAACTCTGAAGGACATGAGCATAGAGAGAGAAGAGAGAAGAGTGAGACATACACACACAGAGATAGAGAGAGAGAGAGATAGAGTAAGGTTGACTCGCACCTGCATTACGTGAAGCATGCCCAAATCTCGCCACCCACCAGCCTTTAGGCCATATATTTGAGTTCCCTAATGAAAAAAGCATAAGCAACATTACCAGCCTGGTCATTGTACTTACAAGTGCAGCAACACAAAAACATTTTCAACTACAGAAGAGGTGATTGAATGCTTATTGCTGTATGGGGAATTATAACTTCCAAAGACAGTCTAACATAGGAGAATGAAAATGAGACGAGGAACAACATAGGGATGTTACAAGAAAAACAGAGGAAGTACAGCAAAAGAATACAATCTTTAACAATTTAAACAGAGCAAGTACATCACAAAATTACAATATCTAACAATTCATACACCACGAAGGACTTGAAATCTTATCTTCGCGAATTAAACCCAACAAGATTTAGATATGCTCCATCGCAATTATTGTACTGTGATATGAGGGTTGGACAAGATTACCATGGACCAAAGCATTAACTTGAAGAAAACCAGAATATGAGAGACAGAGACAGATCTAGGCGGAACTTAAACAAAGAAAGAATATGAAGAGTTGAAAATGCAAATCCATACACATAAGAGATGCATTATCAAAAAGGTAATATTCAAATTTTAATATAGAACAATCTTAATCACCACAGTGTAAGCAGGAAGATTTACTCCCCATGCTAGAGTCGTTGTGCAAACGAGTACCTAGAAAGAAGAAAAGCATCTATCAGTGGAAAATATGTTTAAATATTCAAATATATGAGTTGAGAAGTGTTATAATACCCTTAAAAGTCCCTCGGAGAAAAGTCATTCAGTCAAGCCTCTGGCATCCCGTAACATCCCAAGATGATGGATACCAACGACATATTCAAATAGTTGGACCAGTTCCTTATTTCTGGACTTCAAAACTTCTTTCTGAGTAATGAATAAATGCAAAGAGGTGCAAAGAGGATGAGTATATAAAGAGAAGCAAAGATGTCAGCAAAGAGAGGTGTCACAAAAAACTTATCAACAAAAGTTCCCTGTCTTTATAAGTTCAAACTGAGGATGTGAAGCATTGATGAAGAGATAATAGTCCTCATGTCTTCTAGCAATATCAACATGTGAATTACCTTTTTCTCAGATAATATAGCAAACAAATATTCAAACTTACATGAGCGATCTCCTTGTTATGTTTACATGCATCATTAAAGTTTCCGTTTAACTTGGTGGTGGCAGTTGCATCAGACATTTAAATCAATCACTACATACTATTAAGACTTTAGAGCATGCCTCTTCTAAAATGCAAGGCTCACAAGTGGCAGCCTTTGGTGCTTCTCATATTTCTCAATCACACTGGCTCACATGTCTGATCCAATACTCCAAGTTTCCATATAAATTAACAGTCGACATTAATTATACTTACTTAACTAACATAGTTCATAAACTCATTGCCTACCTATTACATAAAAACAACATAAAAAACACAATAACACTAAGGATATTTCATATATCTCCTAAAATTTTCAAGGTTTTCAAATTTTATTACCAAAATTTTTTGATAATATTATTTTTAATACCTAAAATAATAATTAATAATTATTTTAACTTCAAAAGTTCATCTTCCATTCCAACAATAAAGGTATCAAATGATCTATAATAGTGAAGTAAAAGTATATAAATTTATTTAGTTTTCAAAATTATCTAAGTTATAAATAAAATTACCATCGATGTTGAAGAATAACCATACCATCCTCCTGATCCAAGTATATTAGAATCTTCTGTGTGTGGTAGGAT